CTGATTTCTTCTTCCCCCTCCCTCCTCTCCCCTCCCCCCGCTCTCTCTCTCCCCTTCCTCCCTGTCCCCCCACCCCCACCCCAGCGTGAACGACCCCGGGAACATGTCCTTTGTGAAGGAGACCGTGGACAAGCTGTTGAAAGGCTACGACATCCGCTTACGACCCGACTTCGGGGGTAAGTGGGGTGCGCGGGGTGCGCGCTCGTGGCCGCTGCGGGGCTGGGGGGGGGGACGCGGCCTCCTCCTCCTCCTCCTCCTCCTCCTCCTCCCCCGGGGACCTGGGCGGCGGGGAGCGGCGGGGGCCCGCGGCTGCTCGCGGGAGTGTGGGAGACGCGTGTGTGTGTGTGTGTGTGTGTGTGTGTGTGTGCAGGGGGGATCCTCCCTTGCAGCCCCCCTCTTCCACCCTCTTAGACCCCCCGACCCCATCCCCAGGGCCTTCATCCCCCCCCACCGCACCCCACGCCTGAGCCTGGCTGATGGCCGTCCGGTGCGTGTGTGTCCCCCTCCCCGCAGGTCCCCCCGTGTGCGTGGGGATGAACATCGACATCGCCAGCATCGACATGGTTTCCGAAGTCAACATGGTGAGTGCCCAGCGCTTCCCGGCGCGGGCCCCTGCGGTCTGGGCCCAGCGGCGGCGGTGGAGGAGGAGGAGGGGGAGGAGGAGGACCGGAGGGGGTTGCTGGGTTTTCTGGGGGGCCCCCTCGCAGGGGCTCCCTCCCCCTCCCCCGGGCGCTGTGCGCACGGCGGGGGGGGGAGGGGGCGTCGCCGGCGTCGGAAGCGCGCGCGTGTTGTGCAGGGGGGGCGCGCACAGAGGATGGGGGGTCCCTGAAACTCCAGTTCCCCCTTCCCGTCTTCCTCCCCTTCCCTCCTCTCCTCTCACCCCCCCCCTCCCCACACACCCAGCTTTGGGGATAGAGGCTTGTCCCTTGGTCGCCAAGGCTTTCCAAAGTGCTGGTCTCCTCTCCTTAGCAACAGGCGCCGGGGAAGCTGCATTTAAAGACTCAAAAAAAAAATTGTCATTGGAGGGAGAGGTGTTGGCAAGCTGGAGCTCAGAGCCAGGGGCCTGAGATCTGTGTCTAGTAGAGCTGTCTCCAGTGCCTGGTTCTCTGAGGGCTGGGGCAGAGACTCCGGGATGGTGAGGTACCCAGTCAACCCCAGGCCACTGCTGGTCGCTGTCCGAGGTGCTGATGTAGGCTCGTGGGCTTGATGAGCGAAAGATCAGGCCTGGCACGTTGGCTCTGGCTGGGCTCTGGTTTCCAGAGTCACTTAGACTTGATGTGAATGGTGATCGGGTTCAATGTTCTGGCCTGGGGAGAGCCAGGGGGTCAGTATCCCCAAGTGGCCAGAACATGCCCAGCCCCACCCCCTTTTTAGGACCTTACACACTTCAGGGTGCTGGAAAAATAAGCTGTAGGACTACTTTTTATTTGTTTTTTGAGATAGGAAAAAGAAAAAAAAAGGAGGTTGAGGTTGATTTTTTTTTCTTGCAGGAATGACACTGTAGATTTCCTAAGGATTGTAAACCATATATATATATATATATATAAAAGAAATGATTTGGCAACTTTTGTTTCAAGTAGACAACGTTGGGGCTTAGATGAGGGGGGGGCGCTATGGTTTCAGATAGATCCAGAAGTTCTGGGAATCAGAGACTGGTCAACTCTGGCTTTCCCCATCAGAGTCACGTGGGCAAACTTGTTTCAAGTGTGTGCCATCTGATGCTTCACTCTGAGGGTTCAGATCCAGCCTGGCCGGTGGGTATACAGTTGTTGAGGTTTTTGTGGTCCAGCGAATGATTTTGAGTCAGGTGTTTTGTGGGCAGTGTGTGGAGGAAGATTATGACAGTGCCTTGTAGAAAGATTGATGTGTGAAGACAGGGAGAATGATTGTTTTAGGTGCACGTTAATGAAATTACATTTCGCAGTACATACCCGTGGAGGCTTTTGTAAGGAGGAATCTTTGACTTTTCATCCATTTTCCACTTTCCTTTAAATGATCACCTATTTATTCTTGGCTGTTACTGGTCTTTGAATTCATGGCCTCCCATTTGGCAGGCAGGCAGGCACTTTATCTCTTGAGCCACACCCCCAGTCCTTTTTTGGGGGGGGAGAGGGTAGTTATTTCTTGGCTGGGGTCTGGTAGTTTTGTCCTGGGTTGGACTAGGACTATGGTTCCTCTACATATGCCTCTCTAACTGAACTACAGGCATACCCCCATGCCTGGATTTATTGGCTAACTTTTTGCTCAAGAGGGGATCTTATTAACTTTTTGCACACGGTGGCCTGAGACGGAGTATTTCTGTGTCTGCTGGGATTACAGCTGTGAGTTACTCTGCCACTCCCACTTTTTTATTTTTATTTTTTTACTTTTAACCTAAAAATTTTGAAGTTAAAATGTGAGGGTCTGGAAGTTGCTTAGTGACAGAAGACTTGCTTAACAGTCAAAAGTTTAATCCCCAGCACCCCACAAAAAGAAAAATAAAGACAATTACAGGACAATTTAAATATATATATATATGTATATATTTTTTTCAGGACATTTGTGTATCAAGGCAGGGTAATATTAAAAGTGCTAGCCAGTAACATAGGAAGGTTGTGATTTCATCTTTTACCTTAAAAATGAAGATTATATTTAACATATTGGTAATTTTATGAATGGAATTCTATCCAAAAGTATGGTCTTATGGTCTAAAGGGAGCAGGTTCACAGATTCAAGGTTCACTATCTGTAAGTAGTGATTTTTTTTCTCAGCTGAGAGCTTCAAATTCTCCAGAGAAGACAAATTAATACAGAAGTTAATTGGCTATTTACTGGATTATTATGTCGAAAATCAGTCTAGGTTTTATAAGATGAAAGCAGCAATGTATTGCACAGCCTTAAAAAAAACTATCATCTAATAGTTCAGGCCCCCAGTACAATGAGGGAATAAGTTATTTCAGGTCATTGAACACTTTGAATTACCTTTAATTGAAGCATCCAGTTGATTTGGTGTCCTACTGATATTTGATAAACTGAAAAAAGTCCACTATTTGCTTTAGTTCCAGGCCTGTGGGTTGTGGTGTGGTGTTCTGGTTTTCTCTTCACTCAATAGAAAGGCAAGCCGAAGGCATAGGCCATGCGGTTTCACAGTGTGTTAAGTATAAACCCCCTCGCGATCATCATGTGTAAGCTAACCATGGTAGCATTCTTGTGTGGTTTGTTTCACATTGGCATGACAATGTTTTTCACTGGCTCTTTGGAAGCATGGGTTTACTGTACACAAATGCAGGGGATGAGTAGCATTAAAAACTGAAGGCTCATGGACAGAGATGACTGACCGATCGTTGAAAGACTCCTTTCTTCCCGAAGCAGATGATCTAGAGAAATCTGATTTCCCATCACACATTTGTGCATGCTAATGGCGGTGGCTTGTGACTTGTTATGGCAAGTACCAAAAAATGCGGCGATAGTTGTACAATTGTTGGGGGGCGGGGTGAGATGGAGTGAGGGAGACAGTCACATTTAAAGGGAAAGAATACAGATGTTCATGAACTGAAGCTGAGAGTCACTCAGGTGTGCTGTGAGGAAACAATGTAGTCTCTTTATCACCTTAGTAACCATACAACACCAAGTATGCTACATCATGAATAAAGAAATCATCACTAGTAATGATATGTCAGGTATTATTATCATGTTACGTAAGGTGTTATAACCCCTTAAGGATGTTATAGCCATTAGAAGAGAGAGATCAAAAAGTAGGACATGGTAAGTCTCAGGAGAGGAAGAGATGAGTGGTTCTCACATGGTGAGAGGTAGAAGGAGAAAAGGGAAGGTGTGTGTTGGTGCGTGTAGGGGGAGATATTATTTTGGTGCAGAAAGCCTCCTGAAATAAAATAGAATTAACTTGGGCGAGGGGAAGGCCTAGGGTCTTGAATGTGTGAATAAAGATGTTCTGGATTGGGGGGAAAATATGGTAAAGATGCGGATGGAAGACCGAATTGGATTATATACTGGGAAGTGAAATCTGAGAGATGAACTCAAAAAAGTAGGCCAGGATTGTGTATATGCCTTGGAGTATTTCTGAAGCTGGTTTATGGAAAATAAGGAGCTTGCCATTGATACGATTTTATTTACCTGGATGATTGATGGGGTTTGAGATATGCGTTAAGATGAAGATTTTAGCCAAAACGTTGAATGTAGACGGAGGAAGGTGAGAGACTGGTATCTCACTCTTGTCTTCCTAACAACTTAGGAAGCTGAGATCTGAGGATATCAGTTTAAAGCCAGCCTGGGCAGGAAGATCTTGTGAGACTCTTACCTCTAATGAACCAGTAAAAAAAATAGGGGGAAGCGGAGGCATGGTGCAAGTGGTAGAGCAGCAGCCTTGAGTGACAGCAGCTCAAGGACAGAGCCAGAGCCCAGACCCCCAGTTCAAGCCCCGATTCTGGCACTAAAAACATGAGGGAAAAAAAGTAAATTTAGACAGAGGAGAAAGTTTGGTTAGGAGTAAAGATGGCGATATTGACTGAGAAGAAAATGGTTGGGGATGAAGGGTCACACAAGGTCAGGCATGCGTTATTTTACTGTACATGTTCTGAACACATATTTTGTGTGTGTGCAAATATGCATATCTGTACATACACACAGATACACACATATAAATATATCATTTGTAGTGCTGAAACTCACACTGAGGGTCTGTGCCTGTTGGATCAATGCCGTACCACTGAGGCAGACCAATGGCCCCATAAACAAATTTTTGAGATTGTTTCGTTAATGAAATTTAAAAAAAAATCAAGTGTGTTTGCAGTAAGGTTGATGAAAAGAACCTGTGAAGGCGGGGAAGGTGTGTGTGGTGTATGCTTGTGTGTGACCTTTTGGTAATGAGAGTAAAGAATAACAACTGATACTATGCAAATAGGTATACCTTTGCAGGGTTGCTAACATGATTTGAAAGTATAATCTTTATCGGCTGGGCATACATGTAGAAGATGCAGCTAAAGAATGCTTGAGCCTCCAATAAACAAATAAAGAGATAAGTTGCATAAGTGTATGTGCATCTTATTCCTCATTTTGGTATTTTAAAGGAACAATCTATGAATGGGTTTGAATATTTTAAAACAAAACATTAATCTTGCCATGGTTTGTTTTATGGTTATTGAAAATATTATTTTACTTTTGTTTTTGTGCCCTTACTGGGGCTTGAACTCAGGGCTTGGACAGTGTCTCTTAGCTTTTCTATCAAGGCTGGTGCTCTTACGACTTGAGCCACACCTCCACTTCCAACTTTTTGTTGTTTAATTGGAGATAAGAGTCTTCTGTCCGGGCTGGCTGTTACTTCTATATTCCTGCCACCCCCCCCAGTCTTCTAATTATCTTTTTCTTGCTCTTAATTTTACTTAACTAACCAAACTCTGATCAAAAGTCATTTTATTGTATATAACTTGCCTTATTTCTGTTAGCCCCTGTCTTAAAACTTCAGTCATTGAAAGTTACATGTGGTGTGTTTATTGAGATTTTGTTTTAACTATGATTGGTCTACTTAAGATTGCTCTGTGTTTTTGTCATAATTTTGATGCTTAATAGAGGCCTTCGTATTTAAT